AGAGAGAGGTACAATGTAACTTGATACATTACCAACTCTATTGACCTATTAGTTTTGTGCTGACCTTTTCTCCGCGTCTTGATGTTTTGTTTTCCTTGTCATAATACATACTGATTGATGAGTTTGTTTTGATTTTGAGTTGTTTAGCCGACAACTTGGCCATGACCTTTGCTATTACCGTGAAACATGGGGAAGTTTACGTCAATTTGACGAACATTACATTTTTTTCAAAAACTAACGAAGCACACTGTCTATCATCCCCATTTGCTGATTTCTATTCTGAAAAATTCAATCGTTCGAAAATGCACCTTAATTTTATAAGGTTTGCAACACAAATTATTTAAAACCGATCGAAATTTTAGGGTTTCTACGAACACTATCATCCGACACTGATTCACTATTTGGTACATAGCTCGGACTTGCAAAATATGCTGCGATCATACGTTGTTTCATGATTATCGACTAGTTTCGCTCATAACAAATATGGCGGATAACGTAATACGCATGTGCACATTGTTGAGTTGTGGGAAAAACTGCGCCACCAAGAGCTGACAAGCTGTCCAGTTAGTTTTATATTACGGAAAGTTTAGTCGCCAGACATATTATTCTTAGTTCGGCAATTGGCGACCTACATATTTTTTTGAATCGTCATTCATTTAATTTAACCGCTATGGTGACCAAAATGGTCGCAATCTGGAGGGCTGTGAGGGCTTTGGTCGAAGGACTGTCCCAGGTAGGCCGGGTAGATCAGATGCAGTCGGAGCCAGCTGTCCTCACTGCGGCCCCTCGGTCGGCAAGCAGGAAGAAACACAAAAACATGCATTCAAAACATGTCTTTTTCTGGGAATTCCCTGTTCCCAGCCCAGACTCTCCCGCTGATTTGGGTGAGGTTGAGGCTCAGGCTAGTTGCACCGGGTCTCCTCTGGGACCTCGGGCACTGAACGCTAACATGGATGCTGGCAGCCAAGCCTCCAACTTCGGGGTGGAGCTTTCGGGTCAGGGCACACGTTGCTCCTCCCCCTACTTTCAGCCAGCCAAGGTTCGTCGGGCGGTACCGGACTCAGGAATTTTCTCCTGAGTCCGAGCTCCACTGTGGGTTTTGACTCTCTTCTTGCCGACCCATGGGCGTCCCCAGAGGGAACCATCCCTGTCATGAGACGCACAGTCAAATACGCTCTTGCTCACATATTTAAGTTGAAAGGAGGCAGTTTGCCCGCGTCAGATACAGCTGGTACCTTGGGCGTCCCTCAGAGTCTTCCATCAGCAAAGACTCAGTCAGCCACACCGTTTGGGTGATGCAGAGTATCATTGATTCTAGTGACACGACAACCACTTACTGTTGTTTCAGCGCTTATGGGATCATAGGCGCCAGGATTCAAAGCAACCCCATCGGCACGTCTCCCTTGGCCTGACCGAGTGCTGAGTGGGGCACAGGATGCGCAGATGATGTTGATGGGTGGACGTTGGTCAGTCGTGGAGGAGATAACACCCAAGGCCCCGGGTGGGGTAAATCTTATGCAAACGCTTTCTGCTGGACCAAACACTACCCGGTTGGTGTGGTTTCAGGATCAGACCCCAAAGTGTGGGTTGAGACCAACCGGATCCCAAGGCTCTTTCCTCAGACCCCGGTACCACAAAGGGGGACTGCCACATTCCATGGGCGTTCTCGCCAGCTCAGTCTGAGACAATCCATCACGCCCTGAGGGGAGAGTTGCTGGAGCGCATTATTGTGCGTGCCCAGGACTCTGAGACCTCGGACCAGCCTCCTAGACCAGGCAACACATTTACTGGTGAGCCACCACACAGCTACGTGCGACATCCTCCAGTGTCACCTGGCTCTCTTGGCCAGGACTACTACTGTGCAACGAGACCCGGTCTTAGATGCGTGTATTTTCCCGGCGAACTGAGTCAGGGAGTACGTCGCTGCCTTAGTTACGCAGACTGGACATCTTTCACCCTCTTTGATGGGGAGATGGTGGGTGCAGTCTCAGAGCTTTGGAGTGCCACGAGCCAGATGGTTCAGGTCAAATCTGCTAGCCAGTTGGCCACTTCCAAGGGTAAACGGAGGGCACCCCGAGCACAGAAAACACAACACCCTAAGGCAACGTACGCTAGCCAGAGTCAGCCAGGAGGCAAACTTTCCGCGGGAGGGAAGAGTAGCGGCGTGCCCCCAGGGAAGAAGCGACCAGGTGGTGGCTCCTTATCCTTCTCGGGCGGTCGTCCACTCCGGCAGCTGGGGAAGCATGTTTGACGCTTACCTCTGCAACCGGGGGGATATGCATGTGTTCGGCGATTGGCCAGGTCACAACTTAATGACTACTTCAGGCCTTGGGAGAAGAGAGCACCCACACCTCGCAACTGTCGAACCCATGGCCAAATATCCCTGTCGCAAAGATAACACCGGACTTTCCAGGTGGTGACACACGGTTACAGGATACTGCTGAAATCTCTATCTCCCCCGTCAGTGTATCCCCCATTTTGGGCACTGCCAGGGGACTCCTGCAAGGCGGAAGCAATCAGACAGTTTGCTGACAGTTTGCTGCGCCATACACAAGGTAGATCAGCCTGCATTAAGTCCAGGTTTCTACTCAAATGTGTTCGTAGTACCAAATCTACAGGTGGCGGGTGTCCATTTCTGGACTGAATCAGGTTCCGCATGGAGACGCCATGCAGCGTTCTGCTCTCCATCCACCGTTTAGACTGGCTAGCTTCACTAGACTTAAGCGGGGCCTACCTGCACATACCAATGCACCTAGCGAGTTGCCATCTCATTCAAGTTGCCCAGCTGGGCCAAGTATTCAAATCTCGGGTGCCCCTTTTCGGGTTATGCACAGCCCCCTACGTTTCACCAGAATGGATGGAACAGGTGGTGCTGCTGCTTCACCAAACGTCAGTACACAGCAATCCTAACCATAACCCAAATAAAGGGTTATTAGCCGAGCAAGTAAGGCTTACACAGGACTTACTTCACCAGTTTGACACAGAGGTAGGCTTGGTATACATGTATCTATTTCAAGCTCGTTGCTTGGCGCTAAGCAGCCTAGCCGTTTCCTCAGTGTCCCTCCGAGAATTAATGCGGATCATCAGAATGATGACCTTGGTTCGAAGGGTAGTTTCCCAGGCTGCATTGCGCACATGCCTCCCTCCAAGGTTGGGGAGTGCATCTATTGGACGAACAACCCCAAGGTATATGCCCCTGCATTAGTTTTGGGACCGCCATATCAACCGGCTCGAACTGAAAGCAGTGCACTTAGCATTACCACACTTTCTACCCGTAGTTCGAGACCACAGAGTCCTGCTCTGCACAGACAACACAGCAGTGGTCTCCTTCAACAAGGAGAGGGGAACGTGTTCCCCATCGTTGTCAGTCCTAGCAGAGCAAATTCTTTTTTGGTGCCTGGAATACAATGTGGAGCTACATGTAACTGCTCACCACCTTCCAGAGGTGAGAATCAGTCTGGCAGACTTTCGAGGCGGCTCTGTCTCCAGAACACGGAGTGGCAGATACGGCACTGGGTAGCCTCCAGTCTTGTCTGAGCAGGCTGGCAACGTCCTGGCCATGGCAAACAGGGATTCCACCAACGCTGCCTACAATTCAATTTGGAGAGCATATACTGATTGGTGTAGCGGAAGGGAGATTGATCAATGCCATCCCTCTATTGGCCAGGTAGCAGACTCCTTCGTCCACCTGTTTGACGAAGTAGGTTTGTCTAACGCAGTGATCGTTGGCTACAGGTCGACCTTGTCCCCAACCATTGAGAGCGCTTTGGGAACAAGACTAGCCGATTGTCCTATTATTAGGAAACTATTTACTGCTTTCCATAATCAGAGGCATAGACCCCAAACAAGGGAACCGTCCAACTGGGATTTGTCGGTTGTGTTGTCCGCTCTAAGCAGACCGCCCTTTGAGCCTCTCCGATCAGCACCACTCAAATTTTTGACGTGCAAAACAGTCTTCCTACTGGCCCTCACCTCAGGTAGACGTCGGTCAGAACTGGGAGCATTGTCCTACTCTGAGGAGTGTGCCACCCTTATGGACAATAGTGACTTAAGACATTATAGTATAAAGTTATACCCCATAATAGGAGTTCCGCCACTTGTTTCATGGTGAGGCCGAGAACTTATTGATCACCCCTCGTATTTTAGTGCTTAAAATCATTTAAATATGTTATCAACCATTTCTCAGGCATGTCTGGGCCAATTTCATTCAAATTTTGGTTTTACATTACTCATGAATGAATGAATACTGATGTAATAATAATAATAATAGCCAACTCGTCAAACATCACATATACATGACACATCTTGGAAGACATGCATATCCATTTATCTAAACACCACCCCCAAATTTTCAAGGCCGGGTCAGGGTCATCTCAAGGCTCCAGGGCAGGCTCATATCACCCCTTGCTCAAGATCTTTCAAGGAAAGGTCAAGGTAACACAACTACCACAGCCTATCTGCACTCATGACCACAATGTCTCCAAGGGAATATTCTACATGGATGATCACCACCTAATAACTACCACTGTCCTTTGCACCAACCACAAGCTTAGGTCGCTTGTTGTAAATTGCAAATGCATGTATGTGACTAGTAAATATATAGTGCATTTTTGTCACAGAAATTGTATTTCATGTTTGGGAATATGTGACGGTCTTTCTACCATAATACCATTATTTTCCCAGTGTCAACCAAGTCTGATTTAACATAATTACCTGTGTAGTTTAACAAAGGTTTCCCTGTTTCTGAATCTTTGCCATTAGCATTAACTTTCTATTGTATCTGTAGCACACTTACCTAGGGTATGAGATTTTTCTGGTGATTGGGTGTGTCTGAAATCTTGACTTGATATTTGCAGTGATACATATATTGTAGGTGACTATAAAATGATGTTTAGGTGATGAGTCTTCTTTTCCCCCTGATGTCTTTTTACTTAAACAGTCTCCAGGAGGGTTTATTTTTACAAGAGCACTCAGGTTTAATTTTTGTTGTTATCTTATAGGCTCAGGAAGTTGCAATGAAATCACAGGGCTTTGATGTGACCTTTGAACCAATCACAGATAGGGCTCTATTAGCTCTTCAAGGTAAGTGTTCACTGCCCTACCCCCACCCCCACCCTGGTTTAAAAACTTTGAACTAAACTGGTCATTATGTAAGTTCTATTATGAAATTTTAGGCCTTCATATATTTTTTTTGTTTAGCCCCTGACAGTTTCAGGTAAATGGGCAGCAGAAATATTTGTACTGTGATTCATACTGATCTGAAACCATGTCTGTGTATGGATGGATGTATGTATGTGCCAGCCTCAATTTTAGGACATATGCTTTGATTGATATTATTCAAAATAGGTAACCAATAATCAATATTTAGATTAACTAGTCTTGGTTTGGACAAAGTTTTTTTTTTATTTTGTGACTGATGTTTCAGTGCATAGTTTTGTATATTAGTATACCTGGTACATGGATTCCAACCTCACACTAATAAGGTCTGTGCATTTTTACCATGCACACAATTTTGGTGAAATGCTATGATTGATTCATGAAAAACTAATTATTATGCTAATTAGATAATAAATATGTAAAAACAAATATAATATTTTAGCGAGTCATCAACCGTTTCTCAGTTGTATTTAAACTTGGGATATATTTATTTTGTTTCATGATTTGATTCAAAATAAAACAACATAAATGGCCATCATCAATTTCTTTTTTGACTGATATGCATATCCACCTGATTTTGTTCTCAATGAAATTAGACCGACTAGTGGCAACTTTGAAAAACATGAATTTCTTTAACACTCTTTGACTGACTTTGAGAATAATATGTCAATTCGATTTTGTTAAAATTTACTAAATATCTTCAGGGCCATTAATGACAAAGGTGCTGCAAAATGGAATTAGAAGTGACCTCAAAGACTTTACCTTTATGAAAACAGCTGAGATGTCAGTTTACGGTGTACCTAACTGTAGAGTTACTAGATGTGGTTACACTGGAGAAGATGGAGTTGAGGTGAGGAGTACACTCATTGAATACTTCTCAATGCATTTATTTGTTTCTTCGAAAAATATTTTCCCATTGCAACAAGAGTTAATTGTAATGTAGCAGTGTTTTTGAGACGTTTTCTTTCTAAAATGATTGATTGGCACAAGTCAGTCCTAATCTTAATTTCTGAAACCAAAATTAGGAACATGTATTATTAATGTTATGTTTACTGTAAACTGTTTAATGTTCACTGCTAGAATTTTGTCAAGAATTGCTGGATTGAATTTTGTGAAATTCAATCACACTCTGTGTCTTAAGACCCCAGAAATATTTTCACTGCTATGAAATAAAATTTTAGGATTTTCACTGACTTGCGAAATTAAAATGTTTTACAATCATTGCTATTTGTCAATTCAGGTGATTGTCAGGATTCAATGTCTCTTGATATTATTGCAGTATTTTCTTTGCATACATTTTTAAGAAGGTATACCAGTAGATATTTCTGATGGCAATTTATATGCATTTGCTTCAGATTTCTATACCAATTAAGCATGTGTTAGAAGTGGTTGATTCTCTAATGAGTTGTCAGTTAGCTGAAGTGAAGTTAGCTGGTCTTGGTGCCAGGGATAGTCTACGATTGGAAGCTGGTCTTTGTCTCTATGGTAATGATATTGATGAAGATACAACACCTATAGAGGCTACATTAGCATGGACAATTGGTAAATACAGTGTATATGTATGTTGTTTGCAGCAAACATTTGCCTGTGTGCATGGGAACAGTTTGGAACATTTATATTTCTACATACTTTTGGATCTTGAAAAACTTTTTGGTGGCCGAAATTGTTTTTTCACATTTTCAGTATCAGATTGCATGAACTGATAATAATGAAAATATGATGAACATGACATACAATTTTCAATTTGGTTATATAAAACTTCCTCAAACAGAGTTTCCTGCAGGAAACCTTTCATCATGTCATAAGATGCAGGAAAAGCTAAACAAATTTGCAAATAGGAAAGAATTAGCCGCAGTAATCATTTTAACATAAGTTCAGTTTTCAGTATTCTAAAGTTATAACTACTCATCTGTTTCTTTGCAGCAAAAAGAAGACGCCAGGAATCTAACTTTCCAGGTGCTGAAATTATTCTCAAACAGTTAAAAGAAAAACCTAAGAGAAAGAGAGTTGGTATTGTGTCAAGTGGTCCTCCTGCTAGAGGTAGGGGAGGTGTAATGAGAGCACTATACAATGGCATCATTGTCAAACATTGATATGCAATACATACATACATACAATACATGGATTGCTTTATCATGACACTCTGCCCACCAAACAGTATACATATAGTATGTGTAATGTGAATAAAATGTCATTTGTTTGCAGTGTGTGAAGATGTTCTCAGTCTTGTTTGAAAATGTTGTCTCATCTTTCTTATCAGTAGTGTTATTGTTTTTCACAGCTGGTACTCAAATACTCGATGAATCAGGCGAACCTATTGGTCATTTAACAAGTGGATGCCCATCCCCCACACTGAAAAAGAATGTTGCTATGGGATATGTCACTACAAAGCATGCCAAGAATGGAACAAAGCTCAAACTACAAGTTCGCAAGAAGCAAATTGATGCTCAAGTCTGTAAAATGCCATTTGTACCAACTAAGTACTACACAGGAAAATAAACTTTCTTTTTTGGGACAATCAGAGCTACTTTTATGTTTTCAAAGTACAATTGTAATTCATTTTGGACTGTTTTGTAACAGTTTTTACTGTCTCATTGGTGGGTTATTCCAATAACATTGATTTCCGAAATTCTGAAAAATTGTTTGTTTTAATTCTTTGAAGGACAGGATTTCTAGGAATTTACAGAGTTGTGGTGATTTAGACATAAAATGTGATGGAATACAACATTAATATTAACTGCATGACTAAATGATTCTAAGCATTTAAAAAAAAATGAGTCATCCAACTAAACAATTGTGAATATATACCAACATTTATTAAGCGTATAGTAGACTTTTGTTGTGCAAAACACAAGAAAGCTCGTTAAAAAATAGTACTGATTAAGGCAATTAAAGGGATTTAATTTGAAGATATCTTTCAAAAACAAGGTCATGTGGCAGCCTGTATATAATAGTCACTGTTACTACATCCCCCAATGCAAGTTGGTGATCTTAAAAAATGTATAACGCAATAAAAAAGTATTTTGAAACAAAAATTTATCAGTTTTGTTAAGACAAACACATAATATAATTAGCCTGGCCATGTATTTTCAATGATAAGCTCAGGTTACAGTATTACGTTACTTCTTATGAAATGTTCACAATTACATATAATTAGGGTTTCGAGCCCTATGGGGCGAAACCCTATTGTAATTGCTTTGTTTATTATTATTTTTCCACCGTTTTTTGTAACCACTGTAACTTGAAAAATAATGCTGCGATTGATTTGCTATTTTGCATGCTGATAAAGGGTCATGAGTTGTGGTGCATACCCAAAAACCAGCTATGTAGGTCACATGACCTAGCCGCTATTTTAGGTAGAACACAAACCGGAAGTGCTCAATTGCACCACTTTCAGAGGGTCTAGGAACTTCCGTTTTTTGTGTGTGGCATCATTGGCTCATGTCTAGCAAATATCAGCAATAAAATCTTTAGCGGTCATGTGACCTTGGCCGCCATATTGGATTTTCTGAAAATTGACAAAAAACTTTAAAATCTCCTTCTTAAAAATGGCTCATTCATGTGATAGAAATTTGCTTTGCAGCACCTATGGCCATAGCTCTACAAAGTTACTAAAGCAGATTTTTGAAAAATTGCTTCCTTTGGCAGCCATCTTGGATTTAGGAAAAAGTGAAATTACGCTATAACTCATGAACAATTTGCCAGATTTAAACAAAACTTGGCATACAACATCCGCTCTATGAGATGATTATGTGTTCATGAAAATATTTCTACTGATTCAAGTGGTTTTGGCAGCCATCTTGAATTTATCAAAAAAATGCAAAAAACCTCAAAAAATTGTCTTCTTAAAAATTGCTTGCTTGTTTGACAAGCAGTTTAGAATATGGCACCTATGTTGATAGCTCTACAAAGAGGACTTGTTAAGAACATTGCATTCTAGACATGAAACATTCGTCAAATAATCACATCAAGCAAGTGCAATTTGCCATGAGCCACGCAGGCTCGAAACCCATCATCGCTGCTATGCAGCTATATTTTTATTTGAAATGTTTTTTATAGTCTGCTTCATACAGGGGACTCATGTTTATAGTAGTGTCTGTGTGTCCAACGTAATTTCAAGGACATTCCTGAACCGATTTTGTTCTAAGTTGACTGGCCGTAATTAGATGTGCATGTTGATATTTTCATTTAACTTTTGACCGACAAATCATCATTCTTATAAAAAATCAACTTATCTTTAACCATTTTTGAGGCACGACCAACAAGATTTTATTAAACTTGATATGAACCATGGTGGTGGTATACTGATGCATTTCAGTTTGTTAGCTTGTAGTATTACTGATTGTCTGTCGGCGTCCGCCGTCACCATCGTCAACTTTACATTTTCGACTTTTTCTTAAAAACCACAAACTGTATAGCTGTGAAACTTACTAGGAAGGTACCTTGAGTGGTCTCTCTCAGATTTGTTCATTTCATGTGGATATGTTCAATTGGCTTATTTATAGCGAATATTTTTGTGATTTTTGGTCAAAAATGCTATTTTCGACTTCTTCTTCTTCTTCTTGAAAACTGCTAGCCCAAATGGTTTGATACTTATGTAGGTACCTTGGGCGGACCTCTCTCAGATTTGTTATTTTGTGATGATATCTTCATTTCTCTAATTTTGATGAATATTTTTGGTAAAATATTATATTTTCGACTTCTCCTTGAAAACTGCTTGTCCAATTTCTTTGATATTGTATATGTAGGTGTATCAGGTGGACCTCTGTCAGATTTGTTGATTTTGTTACAATATCTTCAATTCTCTAATTTTGATGAATATTTTTATCATTTTTGGTAAAAAAATTATATTTTTGACTTCTCCTTGAAAACTGCTTGTCCAATTTCTTTGATTTTGTATATGTAGGTATATAAGGTGGACCTCTGTTCGATTTGTTGATTTTGTGACAATATCTTCAGTTCTCTAATTTTGATGAATATTTTTGTAACTTTTGTTCAAAAACATTGTTTTCAACTTCTTCTTGAAAACTGCTAATCCAATTGCTTTGTAACTTTATTTGTAGGTACCTTGGGTGAATCTCTGTCAGATTGGTAATTTCATGACGATATCTTCAAATCTTTAATTTTAGTAAATATTTGTGTCATTTTTCGTAAAAATATTATTTTCAACTTCTTCTTGAAAACCTCTAACCTGATTGCTTTGTAAATTTATTTGTAGGTACCTTGGGTGGATCTCAGTCTGATTTGTTCATTTCGTAACCATATCTTGAATTCTCCTTTCTCAGCGAATAGGTTTGTCATTTTTGGCTCAAAAATGACATTTTCGACGACTTCAAAATTGTTTAATCTGAATGCCATGATTCTTGGTCTATAAGTACCCTGGGTGGACCTATATCAGATTTGTTCATTTCCTGTCAACATCTTCAATTCTCTATTTTTAGCAAATATCCTCGTCATTTTTCATCAAAAACCATATTTTTGACTTGTCCTTCAAAACCAGTAGTCCAAATTCTTTGATATTTGTACACATGCAGCTTGGGTAACCCTCTATTAGATTTGTCCATTTCATAAAAATATCTTCAATTCTCTACTTTTAGTGAAATATTCTCTGCAACAAAATCAAGAAAGTTGGTGTATTGCGATATTAAAGCAGCTAGCATTAAGTTTAAATTGCTTCTTAGTCATTGCTTTCAGAGCATGCATCACAAATAGCGGAGCTATATCAGCCGAGAGGCTGCTAGTTTTGTTATTGATTCAAAATGGCCAACTTTGTTTCCTTAACAATTTCTCGGACATCCTTGTCAAGCTAATTTTGTTCAAAGACAAGACATAATGGTTTACATATACACCTTGATTTGTTATTCCTGTTTATACCCTCTAACTACCAAGAATGTTTTATCATAAACTTTAAACATGACATATCTCAGGCATTATGTCTGCACCAAATTTTCAAACTTGGTATTATTGATACATGATCAATCATTAAACTGTTTTATGTAGATTATGTAATTTTATTAGTATGAAACTAGAATGATCTTATTGCTATAAAGTGCCAGAAAGACTTTTAAATGTACACCCAAGATTAGATGGTGTGTACAGGTAGGGGTACATTGGAGAATAATAATTAGCCTGAATTGCATACTAAATTTTTGCATACTACTTTGGATATTGCAAAGTCACACATAATCTTGTGTGTATGTTTGTTTGACCTCAAGACCAGTTATTGCCTAGTAATAAGGTTGTTGGATGAATCAATCAATCAATTTGTGAACTCGCAATCATTATTAGTTGTATGGTTGGATAGTCCAATGGTAGCTCTTGATGAAAAAAGGCGTTTGTTTTTTGTTTTTCATTGTTTTACATCTGTAAATGTCCACTATCATTAACAAAACTTCATCAAAGTTATGCTAGCTTTGAAAATCTCATGATACGAATTGAAACACAGTCATGTTTCATTTTCTATACTATTGTAGTCAATATCAACATAAATGTACTGGTAATACTGTTATTGATCATCTGTGACTGTTCAAAGTTCCCCTGCTGCTGTAAGAGTACATCAGTGTCTGGCTTCAGTTTTGAGTTTGTAACTTAATACAAGTTATTAAAGAATATTGTAAATTTAAAGTGTAAATGTTTTTGTTTAAATTAAATTTGACATGGTTGTGAATGAAATGTTACTTATGTTTTGCACACCTACACCATTTTTCGCCCAGTCGCCATTGTTTGTTGTCTCTCAATAGCATTGTTTTCTTGGAAGCTTTTTAGTCCCCAGTAGATCTAGTCCAAAGCAAGGGCTTATGTTTTGGGTTTCGTTCGTGCA